AAGTGACTTAGCAGTAGTTTTTTCTTGCATACACAGAACTTTTTCTTAAGGAAACAGGGACACTTCCTGGTTCACATTTTAATGAAAAAGCAATAAAGAGCTCACACATTGTAAAACACCCAGGAATCTGCACAAAGAGGAAAGGAAGTTTATAAAGGAACAGTGCACAGAAATTTTCCAAGCCATATTAACAAGACAAAACCATAGGACATCAGGCTTCACTAGTTCTAGCAACTCCTAGGATTTCGTAATGTAATCCCCCTCCATGAAACAAGCAAAGACGTGGTAGACTACTGACACTAAAACCAAAATAGTGCATCCAAAGCATTTAAAGATGGCCAAAACATCTCCATATAACTAACTGGAATAAAAGATGAGAGGAGTTTCAGTTCTCTAGTGGTTTTGGAAAGAAAGACTTTTTTTACTTTAGCAGAATGCTAGGACTGTATGCAAATTGAGACATCATTAAAAAAATCAGAGTACAAGTAACATTTTTCATTTGCCCTGTATCAAAAAGGGGCATTTCAAGCAAAAAATACTAAGTTTTGATGGAGAGTTCTACAAATATTTCAGGAGAAATTGACAGAATAAACACAAATCTGTCTTTTGATATTGATAAACTTGTTTTTTTATTGAAAAGTGATCAAAGCACCATTTTTTTATAATCTTGAAGTATATCTTTAAAGTATTTTCTATACTTGTATGTGTTTCAAGGCTTCAAAGTCAGTTTTAACAGTATTTTTAAGACACCTCCACACTTTTATTCCATGCTACTTTAAAGTATTCAAATACAACCACAAATTTACTCTAGTCTCCTGTTTTACTAATAGATTTCATGCACCTCAGTTTTCCTAAGTCGATTTCCCAGATTTGCAGGCAGAAAGTTTTTAAGAGCCAGGAACAGGAGTTAACTCTCCTGGTTTCCTGTTCAGTGACTTAATGAAGAGGCCATCCTGTCATTTTTGCATGTGTACGTTGTATGATTCCTTGGGGGATCAAGGGGAGAAGAAGTGTGCGTGCATACACATACCCATATACACCCAAATGAACTACTCTATGTGATAAGGCAGACCATTTTTCTATAGGACTCCTGACAAAAATGAACACCTAGAAGAAAATGTACATTAGTATGTGTTTACCCAAATATTCATACCTAAACACTACCCATATCACCAGGCTTTGCAGCCACTGCATTCAGAGACAGTGAGAATAGCACCATGATTCAAATCATATTATTTACAGAGCAAATCTTGATTCAAATGCAAATGCTCTGTTTAATAGCTCACCTAACTATCTGTATAATGATCAAGTATACCAAAACAAAAAACAATTTACAAATCAAAATCAGGACCTATATTGTTGTCATGAAGCTTTTGTCGCAGATAGCTCATATCACTGTCATCACAACTAGACTTCACTAAGATAATCTGTTCAGCACAATACCCATAGAGGTTAGCCAATCAAAGGTTTAACTGCATCATTACACACTAAAATCCTTAATAAACCTGCTTTTTTGTTTGTCTATGGACCGAATTGTAAGAGGAGGCTAATCGAACTCCTCTAAATCATTTGGATGTTGTGAAAATTTATTAATTTATAGCAAGTGCTTTGAACATGTACTGAAAAGCTGCTATTCAAGTTCTATGTATTCAGCAGGTCTAGGTTTGCTTAGAAATTCTTGAACTCTCAAGGAACCTGATCTGAGTTTCAACTGTAAGAAAACTCGAAACCAGTTGAGATTTGCATGGTCTCAGGTTTCACTGAGCATTTAGCATAACTGATAATGATCCCTTTTCATACATGTTCCATCTCTTTGAGTTCTTTTGGTTTACTTTCCAGTGACCAGGCAACATAAACATGTGACACTGCTTTTGCAAGAGAAGTGGGCCCCTAGCAAGTTCCTCTAGCTATCCAACAGATTCTTGTGTTTCATGCATTGTAAGAATAGCTAGTTCAGACATTTTTTACACTAAAAATGTAGTTTTATTAGAAGGCATCTTAGAGTACAGACACTTTTTTGAGCAAAAAAACTCTATCTAAATATATACTTTGTTGTCTGAAAGAGGGATAAAAGTCAATTGAGTTCAGTTATGCTATGAGTACAGAGCCTTTCACATCCTCATCTCACCTGTCTTCCATAAAGGACTTTGATCCCTTTAGAGCCTTATGGAGTGTGGGGAGAGCTCACAAAATTGAGCCTAGCTCTGGAGACCCAAAGCCAGCAGCAGATTCCCATTGAGTCACTGCTTTAGACTTTGTTATTCAACTGACCCTAAATAACTACATACCCACAACATTACAGATTCATTTCTGACTGCCCCATTACAGCCAGGATGCACACTTTGTGGCCTGTCTCCCCCCATCTACATCTAGCTCTGTTTAGAGGAGACATTCAGTTTCTAAGTAAACTCAAAAGCATAGAATGGTACCCTGTCTCTTAACCACATCCATCTAAAACTCTCACAAAAAAATATGCTAACACAAAGTCAGCAATGCTTATATATTAATTACTGACATTAAGTCAAAGTTATGTCTCTCTCTCTAAATCACTCTTGTGCACCACAGCCCAGGGAAAAAAAAATTGGAGGCAAAAAATATGCTTTTTTTCTTTAGTAGTAATAACATTCAGCTCAATGCTTGAAATCTTGGCATATCCAATACCCCACTGAAGTCCAGAAAAAACAGTTAGGATCCCTTTTTCCATATTCATTTAAGTAATTTTGCATTTCTGCTTCTCAGGTTTGTCTCAACAAGTCACAGCCAGCATCTTATAAAATCTGTGTATGGGGGGCTTAATATCCATATAAACTCTAAACATCAGATTGCACCATTTTGAAGAAATGTCAGGTAGAAAGATTTTCCTTCCAAGATTTTCCTTCCATAAACCAAATAATTTTTGCTAGCATTTTCCCACCAGTTATAAATATCCAAGCTATGAGGCAAAAATGATACACTATTCTGCACCATAATTAAGAATGAGCAACATCCACACAAAACCTGGTGTGATTTTATTCCCAGCAGCTGTGCTCCTTCCTGTGTCCTGTTGTCTGCCTTCTACCCTTGCCCTGCCTTGTGTGTTGGTTTTTTTAAACCCCATCCAATCAGAACAGTTTTTCTGTATGCAGAATTTTTGCTTTTTCCTTATTCCTCCTCCCACATCCAACATTACCAAACATCCCTGAAGACATTAAAAATGCAGTTTAAAAAATTAAAAGAAGTGACCTGATTTGTACTTCTTCTGAAACAAGGTTGATGGACAGTAGGTGTTGCCATCAGCCATCAAACAGAGGGAAAACTCAACTGAATAAAGCAGCTGAACATAATAAGGAAATATTAAATATTATTAATTTTAAAAAGCTCTGAACTGCTATAGCTCAGCTATTGTACTGCAGTGCATTGGCTTCTCTGCAAGCCAGGTAGACATTTCGAAATTCCAAAGGGGTGGTAAACATAAAGAAAAATACTGTTTTTGAATTAGGACCTTCTGCTCCTAGTCTTCTACTAAGATTAGGGGCCTAACTTGAGACATCTGGAAGTTGCTCAATTCTCTACTAAGTTCAATCATTCACTTCTAACACAATCACTACCCTTTTTGGTGTGTCAGTTTGGGGCACCTGAAACAGAGACAAATAAAATGTGCTGGCCCCTTTAAAACCTTTATACTATAATAATGTGAGATGAGAATGACTGGCTTGGGTCCCTCAGCCTCTGAAAAACTGAGGTCTCGACTCTGAGCTCACTAATAACCACACCAGTTGTAGCTGAGATGATTCATAGATTTTCCAACCATTAAGATAATTCAATTTATTTGAGTAACACAACACAAAGTCTTACATGGTAGTTTATGCAGCACAATGGATCACAAACCACACGGTAATTTTACTATTTCTAGAACAAAAACTAATTAAGTGACTAAAACTAAAGGAAATAAATTAAATTTGTAGGGCACACGTACATAGAATTGTCTTTAAACGGAATGTCCTCTGACAATGGCTGAATCCCATCACAGGAGTTCCTCAAAGAGTATTTTTAAAAGTCATTTGGCTCCAAATTATCATCTTCTCCTAATCTCAGATTTTAGCCTGCAAACAGTCCCACTGTGGAAGGACAAATAGCTTTGCACGCTCCCCAGAGCGTATAATCTTGGTAGGGCAGCTGTGTTGCAGTAAGCAGGCTGCTCCAGTATGTATCACAGATTCCTCCTCATCTATGCAAGTCCTGCCACAGCAAAATATAGTCGAGAAAGAGAGGAAGGATGTAGAGCTTTCAGCAGAGGGAGGTATTGACACAGCATTTAACTCTAGGGGAGGGGATCTGAGACGACGGTTTCAGCGCCTGGCCACAGTCAGAGACAATATATCGCTCCTCCGGCAGTTTGTTAGGGGGTTTTGTTTGCTTTTTGTTGTTGGGGGCAGAAGTATTGTTATTTTTAAAATGGAATAGTCCTTACAAAGCTTTGCTGATGTTGTTTTCCTGTTTGCAGATCTTGAGTTGCAGTCAGTTGTCAATGAAAAAAAAAAAAAAAAACCAACAAAAAACGAGAGGGTGGGGGTAAAGGAAATACAGACATAAATTTAAAGAGAGAAGCCTTTGGTCACCAAAAATAGCCACAGCAGATAGTGTAATTAAAACCCAACTAGTGCAGCACAGGGCAAAGTTACATAATATTTTCCACATTTATTTCAAGCAGGGCAGCCTGCCAGCTTGATAGATTTCTAGAAAGGGTGGGAGAGAGAGAGTGGTTTGATTCACAGACTGCTGTATTTACAGCTCACCCCACAGCCACTGCTTTCCCCTCGTTGGGCGTTTACCTTTGCAGTTTGCCAGACAGCAGTTGAGCATAACCCTGATACAGAAAGTAAGTTACATTTCAGATGGTCTAAAGCAATACAGCTGCACAAGTTACCTTTAGTATCAGTGTTTTGAGAGTGCTAATACACAGTGATTTGATGAAAGTTTGGTCATTGTCAAAGTCCAGAAATTAGCAATAGGAAAAGCACCTTGACAAAAAGATGAGGAGGGAGGTGAACTTCAGCCTCTGTTCCTTCACTGCCCTCACCTTCAGGAAGAGACTCCAAAGGTAGAGTCTTCAGAAAGAAAAGGTTTCTGTAAAACTGTGGAAACAGAAGTTAACCCATGATCAGTTAAGGTTAGAATTGGGCATAATAAATCTCTAAAGTTGACATGAATTTTCTCAGAAGACAGGGCTTCTCTGATCAGATGCCTGGATGAAACCAACTATGTAGTTTCCTGTGAGAAATTTGGTATTGAAGAATATTCATCAATAACAGTCATACAAGTAACTAAATGAACAGTTCTGTGTTATGTGTGACAGGACAATCCATAAAACAAGGCACTGGCCTGCGTATTTCCTGTATTTATTCCATATTTTCTTTACATGTGTCAGGTTCTCCATTGGGACTTCTCAAATACCTCATTAAGATTTGCCTGTTGCTGGCAAGCAACAACACTGCAGTTTTCCATTAAAGACAGACAGGAAAAAGTTACTAGAAAAAAGACAAACAAAAAAGTCTATTTCTGGCATCCAACTTGCATGAAGAGAAAAAGGGGGTGAAAGACAAGCTAAAAATAGAACACTGATATCACTAATAAACCCAGTATGTTGTCCATAAACCTCTCCCATCCATAATGTATGTACAGCACCATATAAGACTCTGTGGGTTTATTTGAATGGGATTGAATGGATAAATGAGCTGACCAATTCTCACAAAAATGAAATGTAACTACACAGCTTAAAAGTTGCTAATACATTTATGGGGAATATTAGTGCCAGTATCATTAAATCAAATTGTTGCTCTAAAGCAAGTTGCTCTGATCAGGTTTTTAAATGAAGAAAACAAAAAGATGCCAGCTACATGTCATAATTTAACCTGCAAAGAAGAGATGTTCCCAGACTAGCATGGAGATAAAACAAAAGTCTGGTTCATGAAAAAATGCAATGATGTTGAGTGAGGTGTAATATTTTCTCTTACTAATAACATTGTGTGCTTTTGAGAGTAATGTCTCTGAGTGTGAAATCATCCTCCAAAACAAACTCTTTCTTTTTAATGTCAGTCTCATCAATATTTTACAACTAGTTATATTGACCTTCTCAATAATCGTAAGGTGTAGAACTTCTTTAAAGATTAATTTTGTTTCTTATGCTTAAAAGGAATCACTTAATTTCTTTTCTATCTTGGATGACATTTTATCATTTCCACATTTTTTCCAGTCCAAACTTGGAGAGTCTGCACACTGGCAAATTCTATAAATTTACCCAGAAAGAACTCAGTATCCTCTTTTTCCCCCTGAAAGAAGCCTAATTTGAAGAAATGAAAATAAATAGTATTGAACTTACAGAATCAATTGTAAGCTAAAAAAAAGACATCCCAGTATTTGGAAGAGAGTAACCTATTCATAAGCTGATAAAACAGAATAAATCATTCTTAACACAATGAGATTATGTAGCATCATCCAACTGTAACAGTTTTTTCCACAATGTTATATTGCCATTCATTGAGTTTTCTGAATATTTAAAGATCAAGTGGCAAGAAGGAAAAAAAGAAGCGGAGGCAGAAGTTTGCTCGGAGGGAAAAACACAAAATCGGAAAAAAATGGAAAAATGGAAATTGGGATGTTTGAGGAGAGCTGAGTCAGACTCTGAAGAACAGAGAGTGACTAGGACAATAGGCTGGGACAGAAAGATGCTGGTTCAGTTCCAGGCTCAGCCACAAGCTCTGCAACAAGCTGTATGATTTACTTGTAGCCTTAACAAGCTAGTGGTGAAAGGGGACAAAAACCTTCCATGTCAGGGAAGGACTAGTCATAACTATAAGGCAGAAAGTGTTTGTATGACCACCATGCTATAAGGTATGCCAGGGACATGCCTTATTTGGCTCCAAACAACAGCTGAGGGACAAGTTGCAGTATATATGCACAGTTCTGCACCAAAGTCAACTCTCCTTAGCACTATCGCTACCATCTCAACCTGAAATTATCGCCAGATGGGAATTTGCACTGCAATTTCAGTGCAAAGTTTGGAGTCACCATGTTGTGTCTTCCCAAATATTCACAGTAAGGTTTGCCAAAGCTCAGATTTTGTACTTCTGCTGCAGAACCTCACTAAATCATGGTTATCTTTCTGGGCTTGAGCTAATATATCTGCTCTGTGGTATATTCCACCATGTAGAAGTAAAATCACATAATGAACCATTCACTCAAATGATTTTAAAGGTAGAATATACACTGTATCTCACAAAGGCAGAAGAATTATCACCCCAGCTCTTAAGGTACTAGTAAATACGTTGCACAGTGTAAATGCACAATTTCTTTTGGTTTTGGCAGTAAATAAACAAAAATTGTTTAACTTTTAATTTATCTTCTGCTATTCCAGTCCTTTAGATTTCATATTCCTCAGTACTCAGAAAAGGAAATTCAACAGTTTTTTCTAGACAGGAGGACACGGGAAGGCACTGCAATTCCCAGGGAAGGGTATGCCCTTTTCACCACACCCTCACTGCATCCTCCAGTAGGACCAGCCAGAGCACAGCTCTCCTCACCATCATACCAAAGCCTCACCCTCCCTGGCCTCCTCAGGAGCGGGGTGAGAGCTGTGCTGCTGTTACTAAACATGCGGAACTGGGACCAGCTGAGCTGCAGCCAGTGTAGTTCATTACCGCCCCTTTCACTGCCATATCCTAATGCTGGGATGTGGGGTACAGAACTGGGTTTTGACATCTGGATGGATGTCTGGATCCATGGCTGGATAATGTCATCTGCATTGGCTACAATTATTAATGAACAGCTTTCCACTTTAACTACTGAAATAGTCCGTTAGCCCAAAAAGCAATTACAAACTTAAATTACATTTTAAACTTGAGGAAACTACTTAAAAGTTCACAGGCAGCCTCTTCATTTCGATTGAGAATGAACTTGGGTCTTTCTAGTAATGTGGGAAAACTCTTTTAAATGCAATCTTCTCTGTTGAGGCTGGTTTTCCATTATGCTTTTATTTTAATTACAGGGTAATATTACTAGACTAAGGATTACTTTTTACACAGTGCTATAAATGTGTGGAGCACTGCAAAAACTATAAACCAGAGTAGCCCCCAAAGCTCTTTATTGTCATAGTGCGGCAAAGTGGCAAGGGCCCTGAATTTCCACTGAAAGTATTCTGTAATGAGAGTTCTCATCACCTTGTAGGAAATGAAGAATATGCACAGGCACTGAAATACACTGCTGTAGAATTATATATCTCTACATGAGGTAATTTCATTGAGGCTTGCCAACAGCAAGTCTTCAAAGCAATATCATAAGTTGTAACTCAGGAGGCAAGAGTGGTTTGTTTTTTTATGACAGTTGGGGCAGTTTTGCCTTAGACATAACCAATATGCCAGCAGCTTTGTTATTCTCTGTTCAGCTGAGAGCTGCTACAATGGCACTGTTCAGGTAAGACAAGTGCTATCTATTAACAATTACACCATTCAACTCTAATTTCCACCTGGATTCCACCATAAGGAGGAAGAGGAAAAAATATCTTCTCTGAAACCAACGGAGATATGTGAAGATACATAACTCATAAGCAGATTCCCACTGTTTATGATCATAAACACTAAGTATATGTGCTGCAGAAAACTGCCTTTGGCAAGGTGCCTCTCTGATCTAAGCAAAAGTGCTTTCACATCTACTTTTGTACTAAGGGTTAAGGGGTGGGGTGAGAAGGTTGGTTCCTAGAGCAATGTGAAAGTCAGATGCCTTATGACATTGGAGTTTGGTGTAAGCTGATCCTCTCAGCAGCTGGTCATACCCACTGTCACAGCAGACCCAGGACAGGGCAGTGACTGGCTTTCATGCTGGTTTCACAGCATTACTAGGTTAGCAAGAATTATAGACCTTTTCACTGCCTGGTGCCTCTCATGTACAGGCACCGGGACTTTCTGGGCCTAAAGGAACAGATCTTCTCCCAGAGGGCGTGCTGTTACTGGCATTGCCTCACAGAGCAGTTTGGACACCCTACAGAAAAGATATCATGCATATGGAGATCTTCAATACACACAGAACATTCCAGAAAAGGGATATAGGAACCACAAAACACAGCTCAATTATGTAAGGCACAGTCTAGTCTCAGCCTGACTTGAAATGTGACATGTTTTCTTTAGTTAGAGTTCACTGTACAGAATGGACTGATATGCCAAAAAAAAAACAAACAAACACAAAAGAGACAAATATAGTAGGGAAAACAACTGAGAATGGCATAGATATATGTGTAAATTAAGTCATTAATCTTACTTCAGATTTGCACTTGTACTTCAGATTTGCACCTGCCAAATATAACCCAGTTACATTCATTTCTCCCGGCACAAGCTGAAAGATTTCATACATTAGAAGTATATCATGATACTTTTTCACTTGTAATCAATTTTCATTTTCTCTTTGACAATCACAAAATTTCATTTGTCGAAAACACTTTGAAAACCTACTTAATCTACCTTATATACTTATATATACCTTGATTATCTATATTAGTCTTAAAAGACTGTCTTTAATTATTTATTATTTGTTTGCACTGTGCAAACAATGTGTAGATCTGAATTCTGCTGGTACATGATGAAATGGAAAATAAAGAACTTTCACTGTAAAGAAAAATTATCCAGTGATATCTTAATTTAAGTAAGACCTACATCTGGGTATTTGGGGTAAAAACCAGATCTAACTCAGAGTCTAAAACTGGGTATTCTGCAGAAATGTGGCTAGATTCCTTTTGTGTCAGATAAAACCAAACTTTTTTTTTTTCCCAGTGTTTCAGAAGATCAGAAAGTTACAGTTAGTTTTTTTCACTCATTTTTCTATTTTTCTATTACACAAGTGAAAATTAAATGGCACATATAAACACAGAGATTTAGAGGATACAAATTAAACACAGATATTAGATTCTCCTATCACTTACAGTTTACAAATTCATTCAGCCTCATTAGGAAAAGAGCTCTTTAACAAACCAATGTAACCACTAAAATTGAAAGGAGATT